ACATATATTAATTCAAAAAGTAAAATTCATTTATGAAACTCAAAGTGCTGATTTTAATGGGTCATAACATTTAATTTCCCTTTGGGATCAATTAAGTATTTTTTTAATTGAATTTTCCAGCTATCCAGACAACTAAAGAGCCCCATTACCTGCTTTAATAACCATCACTGCGTCTGATCAACAAAGTCCTCTGACCAAAAACCCTTAACAAGTCTAAGGAGGATTGTTGAGATGATGATGAGGCATCAGAGCCAACAAAAGCTGAAAGCCGCTATGAAAAGCAGCCTGTTGTCGCTCAACAGTTCTCAGTTGTGTTGCCATCTTCACCAAATCCATTTTCAAAATGCTTCATATTTGGACTGAGCCATTTCCATTGCATTTGCAACAGGCCACATTACTTTAACAATGAGGCTAAAGGGAAAGTGGTGTGATTAAAAATTGAGGATTAGTAAAGCCAAAGCTAAATTACTACTCTGCAGACAAATAAAACCAAAGGGGAACAAAACACTTTACTCTATAATTATTTAAAACCACGAACGATGCATCAACACATAAAAATGTCTGAATTTCGACAAAGCAAAGCTCTTAAAATTCCTGAACGTACTAAAAATCAACAAGCGGAGAAAAGAAGAGCTCCACTAGATTAGTATAAATTGCAGTTAACCTGCGACTGACCCTTGGTCTGCTGAGCTGAGAATTTGTGGACTCTCTTGGCGATTTTACCTCTTTGCAGCAGCAGGTAATTTACAAGCTGTCTGCTGCAGAGTGTCTGGGGCCAGACCTGGGATTAGACTGTGACCAGCAACAGAGACTATGGATCACCATAAATCTTTACTGATTGAATGCAAATTAGAAAAGTACACTCTGTGTTGTCAGTATACATCATGAGAATGAAACTCCCATGGCACACACGAGAACAGAGCAAGCTTGCTGATTCTAGGACTATGCTAGCCCCTTCTCACTGGTGTTTCTTTGTTATTAAAGTGTTTATATGAGGAGAAGGCCATCTGCCAAAATTTATAGGCTACACAGAGGACAACACTTTTGTATTATAAATCTCAATTACGCAGCATTATTTGTTTACCAGGCAACTCGGATGAAATCCTCATAAGGCTCCCTGCAGAGCAGGGTCATAAATTCTTAATCAACTGCAGTGCAGACCTTTGTACAGCAATGACCTAAATCCTGCAGCTCATTTCTACACTACGCTCATTTCTTTAAAATTTAATATGGCTCCATTGCACATATTTAACAGTGTTAAAAAAAAAAAAAGTCCAAACCACACCATGTCCACCTGCACATTTACGGAGAAGACAATATTCTAAAATCATAACCCTACATGGCAGTGTTATTAAAAAAGAAAAAAAAAAAAGGAAAGGTGGGGTGAGATGTAGTTCTATCAGTCTGGGACCATCTGCCAGTGTGTTTTATAGGAGGAGCAAACCCTCACAGGCCCTGCAGGCCAGAGGCACAGAACGCAAGTGATTAATATGCCTAGGTTAATGAACAGTCCCAGCATTGCCTTTGCTCCTCTGACTCTGTCAGTCTGTGTGCATCCTAGCAGAGATTCACTTAACTACTGCTGCTTGACTATGCCGACCCTCACCACGTGTGCCATGCTTTGGTGCACATGGATTGGTGGCATCTCCTGTTTTGTTAGAAGGTATGGCCCTAAATATAAACCACCAGCATTACAAAAAAATAAATAAATAAAATCAGAAAGAAAAAAAAAATCTGCCACCTGGCAATTATGCTGCTAATTAAAAGGCGAAACACTCTTAATGGATTCATCTCTCCAGAGGGTTGTACCTCTCTCTCCACAAAAAAAAATGCACTGCCCCCTTCTTTCCACCTCTCCAGTCTGAAGCCTTTTCTTTCCCTCTACCCCCACGACAGTCTCCAGGCGTCGTCATTGACGTGTCGGAGGGGCTAAGAATCACCTGGTGCTTTAGTGTTTTTGGTCTTTGCCAAGATAGAAAGGCTAAGAGGGACAGCTGGATGGGTTCAGAGGCTGAAGGGGTCCTTACTCTTGGCTGCAACATCTGTTTCAACAGCCAAAGCTCCTCATTTATTTATACATTGAGTGCTTCAAACCCCCAAAACTTTTAAAAGGATGTCTGTATACACACACGCACCAACCGCAGATAATGCATAAAAGACAGAAACAAGTTTCTACAAATAGCAGAGGATAAAAGGGTAAATACTCCTCCAAATCTGATACATCTATGCATATGTGCCTACAGAGAACCAATGCCAGTCAAGAGAAGCTTCTCATGCAGGCATGCACGGACCGACATACACAACTGCACAGTTGCCCATCTGTTTTCTTTGGGGGATAACACTGTTTTCATTAAAGCAAATGTGCATCTTCAAAAGCTGCAGCGAGGCATATAAAAAAAAAGAAAAAGAAAAAAAAAGTGACTTTCCAGGGCGGCTTATTCCCCATTCAGATGATTCAAATGCAATTAGGTCACCACAGGTAGGACTGCTACTTTGTGATAGACGTGACTCTCTAATATTAAAGATCTGAGGGCACCTTAAATAAAATATCAGACGTGCTGGGTTCTAGGAGGCCAGCAGCTCATTATGTCTGACAATGAGGGAAGCGAACTCGGCTGAAGCCTTAAAAGCAGATGTTTCCAGTTAGTGAAGGAATCACTGAATACAATAGTTGGGCTCCAACTAGAAACCAGACAAGTCATTACCGAGTCAGGAGGGAAAGACTTAACCTTTCATGAAGCAGCTACAGAGATTGTAATAAGCGCCACTGCTTCTCGCAAGTTTCCCCATAAACAAAAGTAAAGAAAATCTGTTTAAGTAACCCTGACATATAAAATACAGACACAATCAAGAGAAAAAGAGAGCGCCTTTTTACATGTCTGTGGTTTTGTTTGGATGTATTTTACATCATTAGGAGGAAATCCTCAGTCGTCATGCTTGTTGATTCAGTACATTGTGGTTTGCAGAAAATCTGTGCCCAGCTCTTTAAAGCTTCTTCACATCATATGAACCTAATCTGGACTTTGAACTAATCATTGTAGTACACTGACTTTTCTCTTTTTCAGCCATTATATGTTGTAGATTTGATGCTACATCACCAATTTGTGCAAATCTTTAGCTGCCAGTCAAGAACACCTTGTACCTCTAATTTATAGATGACTGACAAGTGTTTAAAGTCTGTGGTTTCAAAACAAGCTCAAATCATCACTGTCCACCACCATGCTTGACAGCTGGAATGAGATTTGGTGCTGTGCTTGGATTTCATCCACCCAAAAGGTCATCGATTCAGATGCGACTCAGCAAATCCTGGATGCACCAATATATTTTTCTTTTTTTTAAGCCTTTATCCTTCAACCCATCACAGTAGTTCTTTTACTCCTCGTTCTACTGTCATGGACTTTAACAAGCGAGGCCTCTTGAGTACGAGATGAAGCTTTTGTAGTTTTGTCATTTGAGACTGGCACGGTGACCTTGAGGTGAATTTGCTGGGACGTCCACTCCTGGGAAGATTGACAACTGTCTAAAATGTTTTACAGCTGTGAATAATCTCTCTCACGGTAGGATGATTGACTTCAAGACATCTGGAAATAGACTTAGAACCCTTGCTCGATTGATGGGCAGCGACAACAGCTTCTCTAAGGTCGTTGGTAATGCATTTTCGACCTGCCTTTGTGCAAACACACAACAACGTGCACGAAAGCAGAAACTGCAGAAAGTCCTGTTTTTCTAACAGTAGCTACACCTGCTGATGATTAGTTAATCAAGTACATCTGATTAGCAGCACTGCTTTTCTATTTTTCTTTCTTAAATCCTACTGAAGCAGCAGGAGTCTCATCTTCCACAGAGAATTTCCATTTTGTCTATCTTGGCCCAAACCGTGAGGAATCGGCCGTTTTTCCAACGCCTAGATGAAAACATTTTAAGGACATGGTGATTTCTATTTTGCCCTGATAAGAGAAATCCTAAAATTGAAAGAAGCTGTACCGTTTTTACCATGGCAGTACCTTTTCCACAATAGACAGCCCTCAAGCTATTAGGTTTTTGCCAACATGTCATCTGTTGTCAACAAACCAGAGTAAGAGACCGACGGAGCCAACTGTTATCCGAGCCGAAATCTGTGACATCTGAAGACTGTGTCCTTTCAGAGGCAACAGCGTTCCCGAACAAAAGTGGTTTTTAGAAGAACCCACAGCTGGTACCATTTCGACCACAGAAGCAAACAACATCCTTCCAACAGAGAAGCTCTGTTGCAATTGTGTTCTGTGGCAAACTAAAGTTTTTCATGTTTTTAGTAATAAAATTTATGCATACTGCAGACCCGGATGCAATACGCAAGACTGTCCGTAAGTTGAAAGATGCATCAACTATCCAACAGCTTAACGCAAATTCAATTAGTTGAATACATGTGCTCCATGTCAAGAGCAACAGTTTCTGAGGTAAGTTGCGGATGTTATAAATTCAGAGGATTTACAAGAACAGTGAATGTAAGATGTGCAAACCTCAAATAAATCTCAAGTACTAGCATGTACAAAAACACTTTAACACTGCTAATTTCAATCTTTGCTGCCCAACTACCAAGGCAACACTACAAACAAATGTATGTTATTTGTTACAGCTGGGAGCAATTTAAACAGTATCTTATAACACCTACAATCGCGAGAGTAGAGTTCTTTAATTTTAGATAAATCCAAAACACTAACAAATATCTATGTAGATCTAGAAGAACTCAGAGCGGACAAACACATGTAGCACAGAAAGCTTCAAAAAGAGTATTCAAACTCAGCCTCAAAAACCACAATTTCAGAACAAAACATGTTCAAAATGAGTGACAAAAGAATAAAATGGAGGAAAAAACTGACCATACCCAGAAGCACATGCATACCTTTCAGAAATAAAAGGGTTGAGACTGAACACATCTTACTGCAGGAGTTTACAGGGGTGGGCTGCACAAAGGTGTAGCTTACATCACCCCTCGCCTTTATGGGTTCATTTTCACTTACAAGGTCGGCGATGCTGCGTCCCAGTTTGTCCATTTTGGTTCCCGCTTCTGCAATTTTCTTGGCAGCTTTGATGACATCAGATGTATTTTTCAGTGGCCCCTTCCCCCTGAAGATAGAAGATGGAAACATCAGTCAACATTTTTTTTTCCCTCTACTGGAGTCAGTGTAATGCAGCAGTAAAATCTCTGTAATGGAGCCCCTGCTTCTTTAACAGAGTTGTTTTCCCTCTGAAGCAGTAGCATGTCGTAAACTCTGGGGATTGTGCAGGTAAAAGCTTGAGGTATAAAAATTCATAACTGAGCACAATGATTACACATATTAAACATGGATGCATCGTTGGCATCGCAATGATCAGAGAAAACTATCAAAAATGCTCGACTACAAACTTTTTCAAGGTTATATAAGTAAACAAATGCAATTAAAAAAGTGGATAAAAAAAAAAAAAAAAGAGTTCAATTGTGTATTTATCTTTGTTAAATGACCCAATATACAATATCAATCCTTGCCCCTATTGAAACGCAAAGTCCATCCCAACACAGGTCAATCCAGCTCTGACCTGACCCACTGTAAAAGCTCGTCAGCTATTTGCCTTTTTCGGTACCCCTCAAGGGACTTTGGGACACAGTTGGCAAGAGAGACAAATTGGATTCAAAGCTGTTCTCTCCAGGCTAAAAAAAAAAAAAAGAGCTGTCCAGCCCAGAACAGATGGAATTTTGTTTTCTGTTCTCTCACTTCCTCCATCCTTTCCTCCCGTCTCCAAACCTTCCTTCTCTTGTTCTCCCTCTGCTGCTGTGATGTTGAACAAGCCAGGGTCCTAGTGGGAAAGGCCATGCGTCAGAGCACATACTGGAAGTCCTCCAGGGACGAGACAACCCCTGGAGACGGAGCTGAAAGCATTGTGATGCTTTGGGAAGCGGGGGGAAAAAACAAAAAAACGCATACAGGCAAAAAGGCAGCTGATAGCACACTATTGTGGTTTGTTCTCAAAAAAGTACAACATAAAGGAAAAGTCACAACTGATTTATATCTGACCAGTAGTGTCCCCCCCTTTTTTTTTATCATCTTTATATACAACCAGTGGCTTATTCTTAGGGATTTGTTTCTACCAAGCTAGGAAAATAAACAGGTCTCAAAAACAAGACAAACTCTTTACAGGTGGTACGTTTCAGAATGTGCAGATAAGAGCAAAGTATTATTAGAGCTCCTCCAGGTGTGTGCAATGTGGCTGCTGGACATGTTACATGTACCCAAGACGACAAAATGTCTTATTCATGAACGCTGCCATGCAGCCACAAGCATTGCTGAAGTCGACATGAACTCCTCTCACACTCTGCAAATTTGTCAGGAGAGGTCAATTACCTCATACATCAACCTTGGTGGAGCTTCACACCATCTCAAGGTTCAAAAGACAATAATTCGGGCATAGGCTGAATTCACTGGCTACTGACCTTCCCTGCGAAGGCGTAATGTATGGATAGATTAGCTGGCTATGTGTGTGTGTGCTCTCTAAGACACGCTTTGTCTGTGGGTCTGGGTGGAAACAACAGAATGTGTGTTAAACACTGAACTGCAAGTTTTACCCTCAATCAGGAGCGTCATTGCAAAGTAACAAAAAAGGCGGCTGCGTATCAGTTTGCAGTAAGTTTGTGAAGTTATCGATTGTATTTTGGTTAAAATCAAGACTGAATCAAACGCTGTACTTTATGGATTTGTGGTAAAGAAGTAATGTAGTAATGCAAGCATTGCTGTGACGGCATCCTTTTCATCCATGTAGTTTCTCCTTTTTTACTTCATTTCCTTTTGGTTAATTACACTGTATTCAGCCTGGGAGCTTAGAGTTTGAGAAACATACATGTTGAAGATTTAAACAGCCTTTCCATGAAAACTCAGTGACTAAAGATTGACACAAAGATGGGTTGAACATTTTTGAATATAGAAATAGTTATATAGTTATATTATCACACGTATATCTACATATCAAATATTTACCTAAAAATCACAACATTCTAGTCTCAAGGATGAAATTGTTTTAAATGCTGTGAAATAATCAGGCTGTAATGGAAGAACAGCGGAATGAATTTTCTTTTCTCCTCAAAAAGTGAATAAAAACAGAAGTCTTTATCTCCGAAATTTGCTTAAAGTTTCCATTAGGTTTGGTTTGACAGTAATTTATAAAGCGTTATCACTGTTAGAGAATTGTTGTTGTAGTTTTCCTGCTAAAAGAATAAAGGAAAACTGGTTTTAATTACAAAGCTAAAACCTCACTTCTACATGCTGGGGGGTTAATCTGCAGGAGTTACACTCTCAGTGTCAAACAAAATGCCTCCACAGTGGAAACACATTATAAGAGGTTCCAAACGTAATGCAATGTGTGTAGAGGTCCACCAGAAAACATTGCTGCTCAAAGTGTCAGAAAACAAAAAAATTGCTATGAAGGTGGAAAAATAATGAAATCCTTGGAAAATATGCTGCACTGTTTAAAAAAAAGGCAATACATGGTACAAATTCTTATAGCGGGTTAGTGTTCAAGCACAGCTCTGAAAATTAAGTTTTCTCCACTTCATTTGCCAAAAAAACAAGTCCTGCAGCTAAATGTTGTAAATAAAACCATGAAGAGAGAACTTTTTGACAGCTCAGTGATTTATCCAGGCTATTATCGGTGCTGAACTGCTGATTAGATGTCAAAATAATCAGGTCTACGGAGGAGGATGAGTTTAATAATGTGAGTACAGCACATGAGGCTTGCGAGGAAAGTAATACCTGCTTTGGATCAGCCTGTCCAACTTAATAAACTCATTGTAAAATCAGATTTTTAAATTTATTTTCAGTGGAGATGCTTTCTGTTATCCTAGACAAAAGTTCTGCAGTATGCAAAATTAATGAATCCTAAATCATGTGTATTTGAATTTTCTTTTTTGAATTCTTGGGGGATGCTTTGAACAGTAGCTTTACAATGTGGGAGAGGCGGTATTCATGCAGTATAAAAAAATAAAAAATAAAATGTCAAGGCAATCAATAACCTCATATCTGAATCCATCCAACCATTTAGTAGTAAAAGGTTGCAATACTTTTATCCTTACTGCTTTGAAAGATTGAGCAGCAAATAAAATCTGCAGGGTTCTGCACAACCTTTCGGGTCACTGGCTGTTAACATTTCAAACTGCTCTGCCATGTTTCACTATTTTACATATTTAGTCGGCGCGACAGGCTCTTTGACCCATTCAGAAGACGAGGATAAAGAGACGACATTACATCATTACCAATGTGACTCACACGTCTGCAACAAAATGTCCAGAGTGATTCACTCACATTTCTAAAAGCAAAAAGTTATACAAACACATTCAGTGAAAAAATGCATTTAAGCCACTTTCATGCATTCTTCATGTGAACGCAACGGTAGTTTCTAGTAAAGATGCATAACATATCAAATTGCAATTGTTGTCGCGATATTCGTGTGTCTAACACTCACTGTGTAACACTGCATCTGCAAAGGAGCGTTTGGATGCTATTTTTAGCTGGATGCTATTCTTCAAGAGCCTTTACACCGGTGGACTATCACTGCCCTTGCCAGAGAAACCTGATTTACACTTTTAGTGGCCGAGATGCTGAAGCTTCTAGAGAGCAGAGGGAACATTTCATAAGCAAGATAGTCATCACAATTGTCAGCATTTGTAACTCTATAACATATGTATTTTAAAACATTTCAAGATATAAATGCCACCAAACATTCAATATGCGGCGCCTTCTAAAAGTGTTCATTCCTCAAACATTTCACCGTTTGTTCCACATTATGAAGTCGGATGAAAATCGATCTGAAAGTACAATCTGAAAATTGTACTCAGGCCCCTTTACGCTGATGTCTCTAAATAAAATGTACGGAAATGTCTTCTTTCAGGAGTCACTTAATTAGTAAATTGAGACCAGCTGTATAACGCTGTCTTTCTAATTCTAGCCCAAACTGTTCTGTGAAAGAAAAATAGTGAGCAAATAGCATCTTTAAAATTGAAGGATACAACATATAGAAGGGAGTAATTGTGGAGGAATTTAAAGCAGGTTTGTTTAGGTTATCAAAGCTAAACCTGCAACTATTGAAGCTGAGTTTAAACCATCCAAAAATAGAAAAACCATGGAAAAAAGCTAACTAAACAGACACAGTGGAGGCTGGAAGAGGGATGTAGTGAGAGAAGCTGTCAAGAGACCAACACTGGAGGAACTACTGAGACTAACAGGTCAACATAGCAACTAGTAGCCTGCATTCAACTAATCTAGTCTTTAAGAACAAGCTGCAAGAAGAAAGCTCCTACTAACAGAAACCATAGAAAAGTATCATCTAAAGTTGCCTAAAGCCATGTAGAGGGCAAAGCGAATGTTATTAAGACAAAGTAGTGCATTTTGGTCTCCTGTTGTGAAAACGGCTCCTCTTTCACATAACATCCTCATAAAATACACTGAAGTTTGTGGTTCTAACAAAACAAAATGTGAGAAATCTCACCACTGTTATACACTCACTGTAATGCCCTGCTAAACCAAATCAACAAGGCCTTTTAGGACAGATGCATAAAACCAGTCAACTGCATAATGAATATCCAACTGTTTGAACGTGAACTCTGGTGCAGCACTTATTACAAAACAAAAGATGTCTCTCTACAAAAATAATAGAAGCAAAACAGAGGCAAAATATCTGCAAATCACATTAAAAAAAAGTAAAAAATAAAAATAAAAAAAAGTCGTGACAAGGGCATGTTTGACTCCCAATGACAACTGGTAGCTAGTGTGTGCTGACAATGTGACAGAAGCAGCTGGGTGAATCCTGTAGCGCACTGAGACACTGCCAGCTCAAATTCAGCACAGCTGACTGGTGGGCTCTTTGCACTACAGATAGACAGCGACTCAAAACGTATATATACAAAAACAGATAGAGGAAAAATACTCAGCAGTGGCTAAGGCACCTATTCTCAACTAGTGTGGGCGAAAATGTTGTGAGGTAGACGAAAGTAAAGGCAGAAAGCCCCGAGAAGTCACTAAAGACAAGAAACGAAGCAATGAGATGAGGGGAAAACTCATCTTTAATGATGCCTGCAGGTTCCAACACTTACACAGTCAATGCCTACAAAGGGCTGGATATAAAACTTTAGATTAAAAATACATGTTAATGCTAAAACTGAAACCCAAGTACTCATCCCATTTTTTCATGTCTAATTAGTAACTATGTGCGACACTCCACTCAACGTACCACAGAGAAAACAAAAAAACAAACAGCAAAAATATATATATATAAATGTCAACACATCAGTGTGAATTTGGCCTTCAGCGGCTCTTCTGAGGAAGACTGTCCATTTCGTTTTTCTTCCCGCTGCACACACACTGCAGCTTATTTATGTAACAGGGGCCAGCCAGATTTGATGCTCTGCTTATGGTTCTGCATATTAAGATTAAGAGAGGATGGAAAAATAATAAAGAAGAAATCCTCGCTACCCCACTGCTTAAGTAAAATGGAGAGCTGTGCGGCACGAACAGCAGAGTTAAACTCCATATGAAGCATTGTTCAAATAAGAACAAATGTTGGTGAACAGACGTAGGCTCACGTAGGGACTGTATTTGACACAGAGTTAAGTTAAGCTTGTGATATCCGTCTTTGAGACGATGACATGTTGACTGAATAGGAAAGAAACTATAGAAGTATTAATGTGAGTGACTTCATATGACAAAATGTTTGGATTGAAAATGGAAAAGGACAAAAAAAAAAAAACCCCGACAATCTGATCAGAGATATTTTTAAAATGTGCTGTGACATTTTTAGTTCATTTATTATTGTTCCATCTCACCTGGTGAAGTCTGTCATCTCCATCATGATCATGCACATCTGCTTAGCCAGCACAATGATGTCATTGCCGCTGTCATCCCATTTGGACACCTCAGCATCCAGCTTGCTCTTCTCCTCCTGGAAGCTAGCCACCTGCTCGGCAATCTTTGCCTTCTGCTCCTGAGGCAACTGAGCCATGATGGCCTGCAGAAAGAGGATCGGAAGAAGTTTACTGGGTTAGACTTCGACCTGGTATCGCTTTGCAAATAATACATGCAGTGCTGTGCACAGAAAAAGGTGTAAGGGGGGGTAAAGGCTCCAGCTAAAGATTGGATTTGATTCACATCTATAACGCACAGCTTATTCTATTTGATTAGCAGTGCTCGACATCTAGTGCAAATCAGCTCACAGACGCGTCTATGCATCCTGTTGGAGTAGGCAGATAAAAAGGCAGCTCCCAAACAGCTAATCAGACATTCAGCCAATGATCCTGTCAGGCTGAGGTAGGCAGACACTTAAGAGGAGGAAATCGAATATCATCGCAAGAGTTTTTTATTCTATTGCTGGTAAAATGGCTCCGTCTCTCTGGAGCCAGGTAAGATTGAATAAAGCAAGTTGGCGGTGCAAAAATGAAAAGATCCCTCCAAACAAAACAGTCAGATAATCTTTGGTGATCAAAACAAATTGCTTGAATCGGTACCAATGGATCATTCTGCCCCAGCGGATTCCTAAGATTAAGTTATAGCTCTCTTCTTTAAATTATTAATGCTATTGGCTTCCAAATGTACAGCTGAGGTGGAATTTAAAGTGAATTAAAGTAGACTGCAGAGCACCCACATTCAGCTTGGCAATGCTGGTAAATCTAGTGCAGTACAGGCGTGATTACTAGATGCAAAGGGACACGGGCATAAACATCAGATCAGTGCTTCAGTAGGTTTGTTCAGTACTTTACAGATTAGATAAATTATTTCATCTATTAAAATACGCCCCTAGAAAAATCTATGATTCCCTGAGATACTGTAACTATCAAGTCGGGGAGTATAAACACAGATTTATGAGCGGCAACAAAAGGACAAATGAGATCCAGATCTGTGGCAGAGCTCCACAAGAGGAGTTTTTGCAAATCTTTTGGTCACATTAGCCACCGTGGTGCCACAGCCAACTGTGCACCACCCATTATCAGTAAGTGTGGGGGCGGGGTGTTTGATAATTGCTAAGACAGACTTAGCATAAAAAGTTTGCTGCAAATCATCATACATCCAACCTTTTAAAAAAAGTCCATGATTTATTTTTCTTCGCTGTTCTAAGACTACGTACATAATTAATTCAAATTGGAGGTTGTTATTGAACTGAAACATGTCAACCTTGTAGGTCAATATTCAATCCGATTTAAATCCATCTTTGTTTTAACCGTTCTGTTCCCTCGATCTATCAGTAAGATAGCTTTAAATAAGGAAACTATAGCAATACTTTCACTTACTGTAGGGTTTCACCCACTGTAAAGATTTTCTGAAGTTAATTGTGAATTAAATTTAACATTTATATGTATTTTAGCATGCTTTATATAGTAAAAGTGCCAAGGCTTTTAAAATATATGTAGCATCATACAGGTCAGCAACAGAAGTGAGCCAGTGGCGAAAACAAAATTTGTCCAGCCAACAGGCGATAAATTTGCATTTACCCATGATAAATGCAAAAACAGCTACCTAGCTATTAGCAGCTTGTTAGTAGTAACCTTAACTGCCTCGGGTCACAGAACGAAGATGTCTGAACGCGACTCAAACATTTGGCTTGTCAGAAAAGTCCCACGAGAAAAATAAACGGATGAGATTAAATAGTCCAGCCACGCCAAAATTTAAGATTTGTGATTAATGTGTTTAAGTTGAACTTACACTTTAAGACATTTTAAGGCCTTGATTTTAGATACATGAATTTAAGACTTTTTTTTAGGATACGGACATCCTGCACTGCATTTTTAATGCCTCATGAGAACAACAATGACTTGCAAAGGTATTCATACCCCTTGACATAAGAAATTAGTTACCTAAAGCTCAGGTAGGATAATCTGTTGACACGACAACTAATTGACAGGATTTGCTAAAAGAAAGTCATGATGGAGGCATTCCCCAAAAGACAAGAAGCTATGACTGCACCAAAAGGGTCTCAGGTGGGATGCCACGTTTATACTATATGCAAAATATCACATTTTTTTCCTCTTCCATGAAAAATTAGACATCGTTTTGTGTTACATAAAAATAAGAGAAGAAAACGGTTGGACTTACACGTGCACTCTGGCCGTTTATGAGCTGGTCGTCCTCCGTCTGCACACTGGTCTTGCTGCGGGAATCGAAATCTTCGGTTTCAAAGTCAGAGTCATCCAGCTCTTCTGGAGTCTTTAATGACATAAAGCAGAACATGGTAAGAAACAGCCGTTTGTAATTAAGAGACGCACATAAAATAACACTGGCACGCTCCAGCATTGTGAGGACAAATAAATAATAAACCTGTTTATTGTCTGTGAGTTTATTGTATGCCTCGGAGCTGCCAGCCTGGGCACCATCAGATAAATGTCTCCTTCCCTATAGCCCACTACATACACTGTACACTCCAAATGAATTTGTAAATCAAGTGCAGTGTGCTGCCCATGCATTTTAGTGGGAAAATGAAGGTAAGACGAAGGCAAGAAACATATTGGAGCAAACACTTTTGAGGCCCATCTGTCGTTGCCATCTGAAGATGGGAAAAAAAAAGAAAAAAAAAAAAAAAGAAAAAGATTTGTGAAGCGTGAACTGAGTTTTTGTGGAATTGTGCTACTTCATTCCTGATCCTTCACCTCGTCCCGTGCCATGAATACAAAACCAGCCAGGAGCGGCATTTTGTTCGTAAATAATATTCAAAAGGAATTTGAGCTCAATAGGTTACGCTTAAGGCAAAATATAACATTGACGAACAAGGGAAAGTATTTGTTGGAGATGTGGCGCGGGGGTGAGGGGAGATGATGTGGGCAGATAAGGTGCATTATCGCACTTGTGCCTCTATTTGTGCTTATCCGACTGTCTCAGTCCTCCCTACTGTAATGGATTTGGAGCCCTCGTATCTAAAAATAGCAAAGAGTCTCTGAACAACCTTATAGCCCTTTATGAAATTGTAGAGATTGTCTTGTTCTCGAGGGAATATGGGTATAGTTTCAGATACAAAGCACTGGCGACTCTCAGGCATGTCTGGGTCCAGACAATGCTGTTCGGCTGGGCACGCTTTCCATCCTCAGTGGCCTGCAACGCTGATAAGCTGTGAATGTGGGCGGCTTAGAAATGATAACGTGTGGCGGGTACTTTACTACAGAGTCACAACAATAACCTGCTGTTGGATTATATTAATAAAGCACGCTGAAATTGATATTTTTCCAGTTAATTTACATTTAACAGTCTTCCATTGTAAAATCTCCTAATCACAATTTAATAGCAGCCTATGTCTTCACTGCAATGCTCCTTTTCATCTTAAAAATTACCTGTGAGGCACGCAAGACCAGATGCTGTATAAAAGAACAGTCATTAAGAAAAGAAAGAAAGGGATTTCACATGGCAGTATTGTGACAAAGCCAGAAATCAGGCCAGTGCTGCGTCTCTTTGTGCCGTTGTCGATATGAATAACTCAGTTCAACAGAATCCCACATTGTTTTTCTTCTTGTGACATCGTACTCGTAGCCCCGGTGAGCTGCACGGATTTTTATTTTAGGACATAGCCGGTTAAATCACCTTGGGCTGCGATGCGCCGCACAAATCACGAGGTAACGACGGCGGCTGCCCTCTGCGTCTAGCTGTCAGCAGCTGGCTGACTGAGTCAGTTTCATGTCTACAAGGCATATTCTCAGATGTCACTGTAGGTGGGAAGTGGGTTCCATCTGCCTTTCATATATTCAAGGGATGTCCAACAGACTGTCTGTGAACCACTTAGAGGTTAAAGACACATCTATTGCAAAAAAAAAAAAACAAAACAAAAAAAAACACTACCCACACGCTTGTCTGTTTTGATTTAAGCATGTGAGGGGCTTACAAGAGACTGAGTTTGTGCGAAGGAGTGGGCATACCCTCTAGAGAAGTTTAAGCTGATTTGTAGAATTTCATACATCTTTGTACAGCTAAATATGGCTCGTTTTACATGTAAACTTTGCCCCTGAATGTCAGTCTAGCTATGCGACTAATGTGTTTCAAATAAGAACAATCTAGTTGAGATCAGAGCTCCCACACACCGTCCATGTCCATGAATGAATATATATAGCCATTTTAAAATAATAAGTAAATAGTGTTGTACAGTATGTTGCAAATACATAATCAATTTCAATTTCAGTGACTGCAACATTATCGCCGTTTAGAATATTTGTTCAGAATATTTGTTGGCTATTATATTTTAAGGATGAGGACTTAGCATTTTTTGCATACCAATATTTATATTATAACCAGTCGGTTCTTTGGCGTTACAGTAAACAACAATATTTACATCCGAAAAGTGAGCACTCAAGATGCTAAAGGTCAAAGGTGTTTGAAGCACCTCCACCAAAAAAATGAGAATTTATCAGAACTGATGTAAAATTTACAATATTATGCTGTTTCTACAAGTGTACAGCTGGTGTTAGTAAATATGTTATGCTTTAAATCTGAATAAAGTAAGAGTTAAGAATGAAAAAAGGGAATGGAGTCTGAATAAGTCTGAATGATGTACGATTATAGAAGAGCGGAAAGACGAACAGATGGATGGACAAAAAGAGAAAATGGATGAATGGTGGATGTGTGGTTGAATGGCAGAGGAGAAACGCTGGATGGTTGGTGGAGTAAAATGATGAATGAATGATGAGAAAAGAGGAACAAACAGCAAGGAAAATTAAGAGAACTGTCAACAAATGGAGATACATTCTGGACAGAAGGATCCACAGACGGCTTTTAGAGAATGAGATAACTAAATCACTAAATATTCCAAAACCTCATTTTATTTTTCAATACTTATTCAAACCTGAAAAATGCCCAAATCCCACACTGCGCAAAAACCCTGGAAAGATAGTGCTAGACATACTGCATTAAGCAATATTGACACATCGAAGCTCAGCCTTCCGATGTTCTGGTGAAATCCTGGTTCACTCTGGGGAACTGGAGATTTTAGATAATGGAGGAGGTTCGAGTTGTCTCATCACGCCGTCCCAAGCTGGCGGTTAATGGCAAAATGAATCAGTTGGATAAATTATGAGTTAGCAAGTGTTTCCCCAGTAATCCCTCTGTCAGTTTTAACACACATGCACATTCACACACACACCCCCGCTGATCCTCCATGTAGTGTTTAGCCAAGCCCATAAAGCCAGTGTTAATAGCTTAATCTGGATGACAAGAGAGGAGCCGGGGCCGATAGGAACGGTTCCCATGCGCTGCAGTACAGCAAAGGAATGCTAATTAAAATGTCCATCTTAAATCAGTTGCTCATTATAATGCAAATGCAAATACATAATAGGCCAGCTTTCATTTGCCTTTTGTTCATGTCTGAGCAGCATAATTGATGAAAACCAATAAACTGCTTTAGAGCTTAAATGACAGCGAAGAAAACGCCACGTGGACAAATTAAGCCAATTCAAAAGATTCAAGTGCTGCTGGTTAAGGACAGCAAAATGCATCCAACCTGCACAACTTGCATCATTTAATACATAATAAGGTTCTGAATTACACACAGTCATTGTGTAAAACATATAAAAAAACGTGACAGTCTTAAGTAGTTACACCAGTCCCCCTATAACTATCCATTTTACTTTTTAAGGCTGCATAGAGCTTTGTAGTCAGCTCATTGTCAGTCAGTAAAGGAATGCTTCAATGGCTCCCCACTACCATCTGTCTCAGTTATGGTTCTACTCGGGCAAAAGCCATTAACCCACACACATCTAAAGGCTGTTGCTAAACTAGATTGCATGCCTGGTCAATTAGGTCGCCTCTTTCGTGAGAAAAGTTCATTTCTGGCTTCTGAAAACTGCATACAAAGTTTCTCCTGCAGTGCTAAAAATAGCACAAGGCATAAAACAAACCCCACAAAATACGCAAGATTGTGTTTTACAGTAAATATTGGCAATTAGTCAAGTTATTTTAATTCCTGACAAAAAAAAAAAAAAAATAAGGTCTTCCGATTAATTGCATTTATTATATGGGGGGAGGGGGGGGAATTATTCAACCACAACAAAATGAGGAGAAACTCTAATTTGTATTTCTGAGGTTAATAAGCTACAGGGGTTTATTTATACTGATTGATCTGCAATTAAGTTGGTGCCTGCAGCCCTATAAACACACTGAAATAGGCTGATTAGGAGGACATATTGACGAGACAAAGAGCTGTCAGAAGGAATATATAATCCTCTTTCAAGAATGCAATTTAATAGAGAGACCAAAGGGAAAGACTAAAAAGGAAACATAAAATAGAGTTAGGAAGTAATGAAGAGAAAAACAATGTTCAAAAACAGGAAGCAATAGTCATGACAAAACTAAACTAATGTGTAAAACTATAAGCTGGATAAAATAGGATTTAAATAAAGTAAGGTCACATCTAAACCATCATTAGAACTACAAGAAACAAGAGACATTACAGCGGGATTAAAAAAGTCAGAAATGGATAATATATTTACTGATGAATCAATATGTACAGGACAATGACATCAAAACCTTTGTCAGCTGCCGTCACTGCCAATAATGAAATTGAGCTACATATCAGAGAAAGGACCAAGTTTTAGGATCCCTCTTTTTTAATTTATCATTTTATGTTTTCAGCTGGAACATTAAATTATTTTCTGTAATAACCCACAAAAGAAATGTGAAAAAGAAAGCCAGAAATAAAAGTGCTTACTATATACTCTATAAGGAACCTTTACATTTTGAATAAAAGCCAGAGGCATGACAATGTAAGCAAGTCCCTTCATTGGTAGAAAGACGAAAAAGGAAGAAGCATAAAGTAAAAAAGAAAATAAATAAATTGTGCAACTTACTCTGATCATAAGAACAGCCTTGCGTATGTCGCGGATGCCGTCATAAACCAGACGTGACGCATCAATGAACTCATTCTCATCTACAGGTTGTGAACCTGCACTCAGGGCCTCCACTGCAGACTCTACTTGTTCTGTGAAGCGTGGCATGACTGAGGCAAGGAGGGGAAGGAGGAAAGAAGAATGGACTGTCAACGGACATGTTTTCCACCAAAATAACTCTTCAATAAAAAATATGCTGCATAATCCAGAAGTCTAATAAAATAAAGTATATAGAACAAAAAGAAACAAAAAAAATTAGGCAGGGATCCACAGTGTTTCTTAAATTATATTTTATATCAGATCAAAAATCTAACATTATGATGAAACTGTCAACCGACTTAAAATCTGAATGACTTGAAGATTTGATAACTACATTTAGAGAGTTGAATTTCACAGTTTACTGCCCTAGAAGGCTGCATTCAAAATACATGAGACTGCTTAAAGGAAAAGATCTAATCTTGCATTAAGAGTTTTTTCAACAGAAGACTTCACAAAGCTGCCCCAGCGGGCATGCATTTTGCCCCAGTGACAATTTAAAAACTGCTCTCGGGGCCTTTATTTTCCCCATATTTGCATCGCTTCAAATTCAGTTTTTAGGATTTAGCTGCTTCTTCATGGCAGACGCTTGGATGTCAGGATGCAAATGTAGAAAGTGGGGTTGGGGGGAGCGCAGCAGCGTCAACAAAGAGGATTTTGTTTTGAGCTTACAAATCACTTACAGCCTGCAGGCTTCTGTATACAGAAGAATCAGATTTTCAGTGTTCTTAACTTTAAAAGGAAAATCTTATTAATTTACATTAACTTCGAAGTCCAGTGCCAGCAACATTTAATTGCCTCAAAATAAAATGCCAACTTGATGAATTTTCTTGCTGCAATTATTTTTTTCTTTTTAGTAATGCACTGATGTAATCCATCTTTAAGCTTTCTGCATGTCGACTGGAAATAGTTACGAAGTGAAATATGGTAATTAAATCATGTTCTCATTTAAATATAACACATCTATTCGACTGCAATTGTTATTGGATGAATTAATCTCTATAAAGAGGAAAGAACAACACCCGCTACTGAGAAAGCATTTTAAAAATCATGAAAAGTAACCTCAGTGTATGCAACTGGAACACCAGGCCTGAGTGTAATGAGAATAAAAAGCTCAACACCTTGATTTGGCTTGTTTGAAGTCCTCAGAAGAAAATCTGTCTGCATTTTATGACTGCTAATGGGCCCACCCTCAAGGGGGACGAGCCATTTCCAAATCTGACAACCGAAAAATCTTTCTGTCACATTAGCTTGCTAGTGATGGAAGCTAACAGATACATGCTGGCTGACTAATGATATAGCACATTATTTGGACAAAATGACTTCTATGATCCAACTTGTGCTAAGTTATTCAATTCTCTCTGACAACTGAATAGCAACTGCTGTACAGATGGTGAGTCACAGGATGAATTGCCCAATGTGGGAAGACCGAGCAGTGGGATGACTGGAAAAAATAAATACACTTTCCACATAAGAATATTTTTGTTTGAAAGTCAGTTCTAGATAGCATTTAATCTTTCAATACACTGGAATTGAGTGAAAGATAATCCGACGAAGCTCTGCATCGAAGATGAAAAGCATCAGAAAGATAGCAACTAAAAAAAACCCTAAAAAATAAAGTTCAAATTTTTCTGTCATGCATGTCCCTCTTAAAGGGATAATTTACCTTTTCCATCACTTTAACCCCATCTAACCTAGGAGGTAAATTTCTTCAAAATTTAAGCAGAAAGTAAACTACAGATCTGTTAAGATTTAATATATATATATATTTTGTATTCATTAACTTAATAAAGGAATTAGTAAAAAAGAAAAAAGGTAAGAATAGCTAAAATTCCAGTTGGTTACCTTTCTTTAAGACATCAACATATTTTTTTATTTTACCTGAGTCAGTGAGGAGCTTGGTAGCCTCCAGAACCTTCTCTGTGTAGACTCCGGGTTCGTAGTTGTCCATTTCAGAGGTGACGACATGGACAACCCTGGCAGCCCGGCCTCGGATAGCCCCAGCTGTGCGATCCAAACCATCAACATCCTTCTCTTGAAGGGCAATGACACACTTATTCACGTCCTCCAGGATGTGGTTCTCTGAGAACATTCAGATACGAGAACATGTTTTATTTCCAATGTTAATACTCTGCAGAGAGACGATTCAAAAATATGCACTGATGAGATGAGAAGATGGAAATGAAACGTTTTATTGCGGGTTGGATAAATTCTAAGTTTACAACGGCATAATGAATCTTATTGAAAAGGGTAAAAGACTAATTCTTTGACTGCTTATCAATGGGACGCCTGTAAAATGTAAATGTCCACTGTGTAAATTGCTGCCTGTCCTTGGGTGGAGGTGAGTGAAATCACTCTACTTAATGCTTAATGAGAACGCTCACAGGGCACGCGTGACAAACCATTTGTGTGCCCTGATGGCGCAGGATGTCGATGTTACATGTCGTTCTAATGACGCTTCAGGTTCAGGTTTCTCTGGCTTGCATCTTCCAGAGAAAACAACATATTTACATATCTTCTGATGTATTCCTCATTTTGTCCAATTTTGATACAAACTGAGGTGTACATTTTATTTTATTGTAGTAGAATATACACATACATTCTAGTAAAAATCAGTTTTTAACCATTCAGAACTGTATTTTTCAGTTTTGTGTCAACATGACTGTAATTATCACTTACCAGACACAGACAGGAAGTCGTCAATCGATGTTATGTCATCAACGGCGTCGGTGAGGACACGAACCTGCTTTTCCCACTGATCCTTGAACACGTCCATATTGTCCTGGGCCACCTTACTGTTGGGCTTGGCAGCGAGGGCTAGTGCTGCATTAATCACCTGTAATCGCCAAATTACAACCATTAAAGCCCAATTACACTATAGCCCTCAGCCACAACATTAGCATACGCTGATTGCACAAAGCCCTCCCCCCTCAATGTTCAGATTCTATCAAGAGGCAAATTCATCCCTCAGAGTGATGAGGGGTTTCAAGGACAGGGGGGAGCTGAACTATGAGCGGCAGGTTTTGAAAGATGGGACAGTACATCTGTGGATTTAAGCTCAAAAAGTCCAGTGGCACCAGACTGAACCGAGGTTAAACGTCTCCTATGAATAAATAATGAAACAGTGATTAGCACAGCAAGGTGAAAAACCCCCCAAAAAAGCCACTTTGCTGGAAAAATAGCTTGTGTTATCTACAGTAATGTGTTTATGTATTCTATGAATTCTTAAATATATCCCCTTTTTTATTTTATTTTAAGATAATATGTTAAATTTGCAATTTACAGATTCGAGTATTTTTGAAGGACATAAGCTAATCAAAGGAATGAGAATCTTATGGCATAAAAACAATAAAATTCAGACCCCAGAAGTGGACCAGTTATTCTGTTCATAGATATAAATTATTTTTAGTGAAATGCTAGAGAAGGGAACAGAGTGATGCGCTTTCTTCAGCTGTGTGGAGAGTAAAATAACGAAGGGCTGCCCCTCCCTCACGTGTTGCTACACTGTCAGCTGCTCAAATAGGAAGTCATGGGGTGAAAACTTAAGTAGATGCACATATCACTCTTAAAAAGGTAACATTTTAAAGCTAAACCTGACAAGCTATGAATGGCATGTCTGTAAAACAGTTAGCAGCAGACAGCTCAACTAACCAACCGAAAGCTCGTTAACCTTGTATTTTACAATGAGCAATAAGTTTGTGCTAAAGTCACTTGAGCTAATGAGCAAATGGTAATTCTATATTTCCACTTAAGTCTATAAAAACAAACACGTTGCAACATAATTATAACTTGATAATGTAAGCAGCAATATGTATTATTTCAGTTTAATTCAAATATCTAGGGTTAAGAAATTTTACTAAATGTTTATACAAAAACCCTTATTTTTAAGCAACGTTATTCTACTGCGAGAACCTCATACATCACACTGACAAAAAAAAAAACAAAAAAAAACAGTGTACCCATCATTTCCATCAAACTGAACACAGAAATGGAAAATCAGATATTTATATTGCCCTCAAAAAAATCCATTTGAAACATACAATGCAAGTACACCAAGACAAATGGAGTAAGCTGTAAGAGATGAGCACAATCACTGCACTGGATAAATGATAACTACAAAACACCTCGTTACCTGGGGGCACAGAGCTTCCAGTTGAGAGGCTGCCATGCGGACCAGCTTCACTCCCTCTTCATTGTTGGAAATGGAGCACGCCAGGTTGGCCACCTAAATAGAGAGCACAAATAAATCTATTTTTAAGCAGAAAACAGCCACTGGCATAGAAACGTTATAAAGGGGAGGGAGAAAGGAACACAGATACATAATTAAACTAAAAAATTTGTATTTTAGCTCGCTTTATTCTTATTGATCAGAAGTAGAACGGCTCTGCCAAGCAACTAATCCCTGAGGAATACGAGCTCAATGTTGCAGATTAATTCATAAAGCTGCTAAAACGACACAGTCTGATGACAGAGAGGGCAACAGGAAAAGTAGAACGACAAAAGTTACATTGTTGATTGGACAGATAAGGCCGCTATTCCCCCTGCCGCCCAAAAAAAAAAAAAACAGTAGTACATTTCACTTAATGCAAATCAAAGTAGTAGCTGATTACTCAAGGATATAGTTATTCTGAGTGACTAAATAAACAGGCAGCCAGATTGCCATCACCCTCCTGGAGAGGCAAACAGTCCACACTTTGAAAAGAACTCAGCAGCAGCATAAGGACTGCAGAGCAAAGCTGAACAAACCTCGTCCTCTACCTGTTAACATATCCACATTCAGAGGGAATATTCCCATTCGGACCCACAAATTAAGCTTCCTTTCAATTATATCTAATAAAACTAGCACCCTCTGAAGGAGAACTACATATTTATGCATATTCATTTGAATTTAGGTCAGGGAGTTTAAGATTCCTATTTGTTGGTTGGGGTGTGCTGGCAACAATGCTGAAACAGAATGCCTGGGATATGAGGAACTGTGCCAAAATGGGATTATCCAATGGACAGAAAATGTGCTGAAACATAATCACTTTCAAATGCAAAAAAAAAAATAAAAATCATGACTGCACCAAAGCTGGAGTTATTTTCAGTCAATTTCCTTGCTCTCATCAGGGTCACACAATATAGAGAACAAAAAAAAAAAACAAAACAAAAAAAAAAACAATGAGGTTTGTGAGAGGAAAACAAAAAAAAAATCACTTCTTAAAAACTTTTTGAATAGACACAACTTTAAGAAGTGATACAAATCTAAAGCTGCATTAAAGTAACTGTGTAACTGACAGGATGAACAGTATTGTGGCAGGTCGCTACTTGGTAATCAAATTGCCATAAAGAGTCTCTAATTTTGTGGCAGATAAAACGAGCAGGATGCCTGTGGCTAGAGAAGTGGAAAACTGAATTAGATGATGAAATATCTTCTGTTTCCTCAAAATGCTTCCTCACCTTAAATGTCTCGAGCAATCTTTCTGATGTGAAGTGCTTATTCAGCTGCATTGGTGAAGTACTGAAACATTGATAGCAACGTACTCTACAGCAACATCAGAAGACATGCAGAGACCACAGGGTGAACCCTCTATCCTCAACTAGAGGTGAAAGATTGGTTAGAAAAGAGGAAAAAATGGCACTGCATGGGACGTGTATTTATTCTTTATTCTGTCTGAAGTGTGTATTTATTCTTTGATAAATACCAACAGAGCTGCTGGGAAAGCACCCAGACAGGCCGATTCATCCGTCAGGTTAACCAGCACAGCTCTACCTGCGACGATGCAACAAACCATTTTAAATGTCATAGGAGAGATTAGCGAGTCGATGTACTTCATTATCGCATGCAAATAATTTTTATTTATTCAAGTTACAGCAATATGTTTATAAAGCCATGCAGTATTTCTGGTTCCTGAAAGCTTTGTAAGATTTTTTTTTCCCAAATGTATTTTAACTAACCAAGTGTACAAGTAGAAATTATTTCACCAGAAGTTAAAGAAAACAAAACATAACTAATATAAGTTGAATGCTCAATAGGCTCCAATTGCATCTTATGATAAAGCTTGCATGCCTCCTAACTTGTGAACTACTAAAGGCTTTCAATGTACAAACCAAAAGGAGATATAGGTATTCACAAATTGTGTGAGTACTTCTTTTAGCTGTTAAAAGTGGTGCCAGTTTTCTCAGTGTTAGATGAAACGCTACATTCCTTTAAAATACTTAAAATTCCCCTTTTCTGAATATATCAGACTCAGAATGTTTACATACAAACAAGCAAGAAATAAGGATTGGGTGAAAATTTTCCTTTCAAAAAGCAGAAATTCAGTCATTTATTAACAGGCTTGTAGATTAAAGCATTTTCCACTGGGAGACATACCATCCTATTCTGGTCCATGGCAACACTTTAGATCCTTCTATGTTTTTACCTTTATTTTGCTCTTGCGCTCATTGGATACAAGCGAATAGTTATATACAAAAAGGTTTAGTTGAAACTAACCTTCTATGTAACTTAATTGCTTTGTTATGATGGCTTGCCAGAGATCCAGAAAGCTTGGGGCGTAGTAAAATGAATCCATTTCTTTTTTCCTTCATTCTCTGAATATGGGTCACTCATAATGTAGCTGTACAATGTGTGAACTAACAAGCCACTTTCCCTTGGGCAGCCTGCAGTTGCACTATTCATAAAAACAGACCCCAGTTCAGGTTAGTCCAAGAAATAAACAGTGGGTTTTGCTTTTATTGCCTATTCCTTCTCTGGATGATGAAGAACCAAACATACTACTATAAAGATTAGAAAAAAGACAACCTCCAGGTTATGTTAATTGTAATAAACCTTGCTGACCAGAGGATTGACTGCAACTTCCAGTCAGGGTATTTCAAGCTAACACTAATTTCTCAGTAACTTCAGAAAGATACTTAAAGGTTTTTGTTGAAATAGTTTGAGCACGGGGCATTTGTTTCACTCATGCATTGTATGGATAAGAACATTGCCCACCTGGCTCTAAATAATCAAATACCCAAAAACTTTTGATCAGTGGGTTTCTATAAGGACCACTAGTCGGTGCCAATTAGATTGACATTTAATAAACAACGAGATTGGAAGACACAATTTGTGAATCAAAGAAAACAAAACTAATTTTAGCAGCATTCAACGACTTCTTTTGGCAGCAGGTAAACTATTGAGGGAATTGAATAAACTAATAAAACTGGATTACAAATTCTCAGAAGCTGAAGAATGTTGCTCATCTTCCTCCTCCAAGAAAGAGATATCAAAACACATGTACTCAAAAGGCAGTCAGATGAAAACAAGTTTATGACTTTTGGTTTGGCCACAAATTAGTTTATGCTAAAACCCATTACAACTTACTAAAAATATTCAAAATGTTAGCTAAACAAAAACTGAACATGAAGATTAACCTCAAAACACTGAAGAAAAGCCTTTTGGGTATATGCATGGATAAACTTAAAACATTGACTGCTGAACAGAAACAATATTGTTCACAGACTAAGTCATGTTAATTATCATGCAAATAATCCAGGTTGTAATACAGTAAACGTTTAGTAAGACCTGTAAAATCTGGATAAGTCTTATTGTTTTTTTTATGTTTTTTTTTTGATTAGTCTTCTGAAAATTAAAAATACCAATTATGTTCAACTTTAGAAGCAACATCAATACAACAGACTGTAACGTAATGTGAAAGATAAAGCCCAGCTCCATTAACATTTTTGATCCTGCTCCTCAGATTCATTGTTCAGACCTTGCATATTTTGATGCATGCTATATAGAAATGCCAATGTCCCATTTAACTGAAGAATAACTGAATAGCATCTATTTTCACCAAAATAAAAAAAATAAAAAAAAAGAAGTTAACTTCGTTTATACAGCATCACAGTACTAAATCTACACACTGACGGTTCAGTCTGTTTCAATGAGCCTGCAGAAGAAGAACAAGCATTAAAAAGTTCTCCAATGTCAAGCTCATGACACTCAGGCCTTTAGGAGCTACTTAAGGGTTTACACCCCAGTGCGGTCCCGTTTTCCCTCCAACGCTTCAGCGGGTTCCCCTGGCGAATGAGAACACTGAATTGCCTTGACTGAATTTAGTGATTTAGCCAGTACTTACAGCCAGTCATTCAAGGGGATGAGTTACTTAAAAGTTAGCAACTCTTTCTCCAGCAGAGGCATTAGAAAACATGTCAAAACGAGATCTGAACAAATGCATTAAATATCGACTTTTCAGCGAAGACAGCTGTTGCAGCCAAGCAGTATCTCTGTGCAACCTTTCTAAAGATGGATGTCAACGTAAACGAAAGCCAATGCATAAACTGTGTTTCAACTGGAATAACATGTTTAAATTTGCTACGCAGATGCAGTTAATTACAAGTTTGCATGTGCTGCCTGTGACCCATGAGCAGAGGTATAAATTAATAGATATCTATCTGATGTCTAGACATTCTAGGTCTGATGAAGGGAGTAATGATCAGCATCAGGATCCCCTGGCAACTCTGATCTGTTTAACATCAACTGCAACAACAGCACTCGCATTAAAGGTAATTACCACTAATTAGCGTTTAATGACAGATATAAACTGATAAATCCATTTCACCACCCATGTCAGCTATGGCAGCATGTGCTACCAGTGAGCATTCAGAGGTTTGTGTAAAGAAATAAATCTTTACATTATTTAACATCACTGATTTTTGTTGACTTTGAAGTGGAGTACAGCAGATACACAGATTACAGCTGATTGATCTTTGATCATCATGTAAACTGATAGCACAGTATAGGGAGAGCAGAATGAGTGACAACATCTCAACCAAGTAAAGAGAAACCATCGTTCCCATTTATGCAATATAACATTTGCAAGTGGATTCTTCAACTCTGCCGTAAATCAAAAATGTTAACGAAAATCAAATATACCAAACATATATTAAAGTAAATGTTTTTAATTACCTCAATCAACTTGTTGGCATGCTCACGGAACACCTGAGCATACTCCTTTACTTCCTTCTCGTTGCCATTCTTGGCAGCTTCAATCAGGACGAGAAGGGGAACATTGGTCTCCAGGAAAGAGTCAGAGACGTGGTCCATCACGGCTTTACGCAGCTGGAAACCAACAGAAAGCACAACAAAGACGTTACAAACAATGCCACCTGCATATTTCTACATGGATATTAATATCCTAGTTACACAGAAAAACATCTAGAGACTGAAAATAAAAAATCAGTTTGAAATATCCTTAATTTAATATTACATGTATACTTTTTTTTTTTTAAATATTTAAAAAAAACAAACCTAAGATATTTGATGACAATGTCTTTTGATCTGAACAGTTCATTGAGCACAAAAACAAAAAGGTTTTACGAGAGCTGAAGAGACAAAAGCTTGCAACAACATACCTGTCGGCGAAGATCTCTGGTCTTCTTTGTCATCCTGTCGATGGCTGTGTTCAGAGCGTCGCTCTTGTCTTTTCTTCCTGCCTGAAACATAAAAGAAGGAAATGCTGAGCATTAGATGGCAGCGTTAACCGTGGATCCATTTTGCAAGGGACATGCACTAGACAGATGTTAAAACACTCAGGGATTTAATTAAACTGATGTGTTGTGATGAATCTTGCGCATCGTGTTCAAAGACACCTAGGTCGACAAAAATTGAACCTGAAGAGTTTCTTTTATAGGACACACTACATAAATAATAAATCTTTTTTGGAAGAAGAAATCCCTGCTTTTATTGACTTTTGTAACTTTCTTTTGACAGATAAAAGATGTGACATATTATTTAACTTGTAACAAACATACTCCGCATAAATCGGCTGGTGAATCCTTCCCTCCGACGTTCAATAAACATCTAAATGTAGAGGGCTGCCATATATAAAAAAAAGTGGTTCAGAATGAAGAGGTTGTCCTACTCTAAGCAAAGTTGGTGTTCTTTATTGTATACAATTTACACAGAAATGTCCCCCTGCAGCAAAAACCACCACATTAGCCAATAAACTGTCAGGAAAATGCCAGATCTTCACACCGAGAGCAAGCTTTTGAGTAAAAGAATTCAGTTGAATATGAAGGAGAACACCAGCAGCAATCAACCAAGGAAATATTTCTTCTTTCATTTAACCTGCAACCACCTGCTGTAATTATTTATTTGTGTATTAATGCAATCAGCCAGATTGTGAGTGTTGCAGTGTAATGTGATTACATGTTCACATTCCACGGTTCAGGCTTGCTCCTTGTTGTAATTGGTATGTAAATGTTACTTGCTTCACAGGTACTAACATTCCGGCAGCAAATTGTTACGGAGTGACACCAAAGTGGCCCCTTTCGGACCGGACCTCGCATCCAATTAAAGGGAAGCCGAGTGTGGTTTGAAAAGACGTGGAAAGATGTGGCTTGAGAGTCACCATTTCTAAGCTGAGGCATAATACAGCAGTGTTTTGGAAAGCTTTGCAGCATTGCAATCATGGCAACATTTTGAAAATAATGTGCTCTTCCTGTGAAACATTACAGGCTGAGCCCTGGGTTTTCACATCTTATTTTTTGAGATGGGAAAAGTACTTCAAAAAAAGAAAGAAAATCACAACTAGAACAAGGAAAAATCATGAATTTAAACTTGTATGAAGATGGTTATTGTTTGATTACACATAGAAAGCTTTTGATTGGAAAAAAAAATAAAAATACTATAAATCCTCTAAAAACATCCCCAGTTTGCCCCGCATGTGCAGCTCTTCATACTATCAACAGGGCATGCATGTTGAATAAAAAGTAACAATTAAGTGCAGCTGGTTGGCTGTGTAAATTATGTACAGTAACATTTAAACATTATAGGCAGTAGTCACACCACAAAGTGCTGCACAGCAGTCGGTCCTAACCACAACTCCCCACTGAGAGCAAAGAAATGCTCAGTCACATTCTACAACTCGCTCAAGCATAACCTCAAAATGTAAAACTTTCAAGAAACATGGAGAGATGGAGGGAGGCTGAGGAGCTGAGCATGAGATGCACCCATTCTGAAAAACATCATAAAAAAAGCCTGCAGAGGAAAAGGCAAACGACTCGTGAAGCTCTAGGCATTTTATCCCCCTTATATTGCTGAAATCAAGTGCAACTAACACCATGGATAGTGGTGGGACTGACCTCCTCTCTCTCCCCCTGCTGCCCTCTGCCTATTGGGTGGGCGGGGGGGTTATGCAGATAGTTGGGAACCAGAGAGAGCCAAGAGCACAAATCCTCCATGATTTTGTGTTCTCTGGATGCAGTGCTGCAAAGAGGTTTAGCCTGCTTTACACCTACCATTTCAATCCTGTTCCATCCATGCCTAGCCTATATTTCATATCTCTGCCAGAGGGTCCAGAGATCTTCAGGTGCTTATTATAGCAGCAGTTTCTTCTCCACATCTTTTATAACACTCCAGTTAGTCATATTCTCTCCAACAAAAACAGGTCAAATGATTCGAGCTAGACAATAACATCTTAAGTCTCATGGGATTTTAACATAATTCTCCCTTGTACAATTCATCTCCAACGTCGAGAGAAAAAAAAAGATGAATAACCCCAAAACGTCTTCGCTTTTCCTTACATACTCACCTTATACCCGGCAAGGGACCCTAAGTTAGTGGGAAATGCAGGCAAGTCATTTGCCTGATTGGTGTTTAGTTTCAAGATATGAGAACTAATGGAGCAAATTAGACAACGATTGAATAAACATAAATCTTGTAACATTTTTAATAAAATCTTCATTTTTTTTTTTTTTAATTCTACCCTTTGTTTCTTGTCTAAGTTGTAAAGGTAAATTACATTCACTGCTGCTGGGAGGGTCAGCCCAGCTGCAGGAGTGTTGCTGCTATGGAAGAGTAATATGCAAGTATGTGAGAGAGACATACTAAATGATTCTTTCACCATTTACAGTGGCTATACATTACAACAGCAATAAAATTTCTCTAAAAAGAGGACATTTTCTCAGATTTTGACCTGAAAAAGTTGCACTAAATGAACATCAACTACTGAAGTAGTCAAATTTGAAATTTGCATCAGAAAACAGCTTAAACTGTCTTTAATCCTAACAATTACAGATGTAAATCCCAAGACATGACTAATGCTGTTTAAGAGTGTTTACTCTTTGTTCCTTCAGCTCAAAGCAAATGTCCATGCTTCATTTATTTCATGAATATTTCCATCAAGATTAGAGAACTGTGTTAGCACATTTCAATTCCAGCCCTGTAAAACATCAATATTCAAACAGCAGTGACTTGGTTTAAAATGGCAAAGAAAAATGCCAGTTTCTCCTGTTGTATAATACAAACATTGACCGAAAATATGAACTCGAGGGATAACAATTGTAGGGTAAAAGCTAGAAATTATTACCCAGGAAAAAGTTGTAGCCCCATTCCCCTTTTTCTCTAGGTCAATCAAAGGAGATTGGTTTCTGGGGTAAATTTCTAATCTGATTTGGCCCTGGTTCCTAAAGTGGAGACAAAACTACTTAAATAATGGTCCCAGAAAAGTGCCCTCTTTACTGGAAAAGGCTCTTGCAAAGAGAATTCACATTTAGACTACACTGCTAATGTCAAATTTATATGAAAAGTCCTACATATTGTTTTCCCGTGACCTGGCCCCAGACTGTGCATAACAACAGAACATTCAGCCTTTTCTGTAACCTTTAGAAAGCAAGTTTTAGTTACTCCACTCAGCAGCTGTGCATGCATTACATAGCAGGAGTGGAAGGAAAGGACAGGGCAAGATATGAAAATGACGACTACAATAAGAGGGAATGTATTATATATGAGGCAATGCAGTACATTGTCAGTCATGCTCTTTCAGCCAAAACTTTGACTACACATGGGTTATTCTACCACATATTCGCTGCTAGAAGAACAACAGCGTGGAGAGGCTGAGATTTACAGCTGTGGTTAATTTCAACGGCAAGCTGCGGCAACACGTTCAAGGTATCAATATTCTGATGGTGACGAGCCAGTGGGAGGGAAAGGGGAAGCAAGAGGGAGGTGGAGGAAGACTAAGGTGCACAAGAACTGTGCATGAGGCAGGGAGCAAGTGACTGAGCAGCAGAGTGAGAGGCTGTGCGTGTGTGGGAGAGAGAAAATGCGGGAGAGAGAGAAACAGCGGTAATGATCGACGCCAGGCTGCCACCACTCTGCAGCAGAGAGTGGCTGCAACAAAAAAGCACAGAATAACATCCCCGACTCCCCGCTCTGCTTTTTTTTCCCTCTCTCTGCGTCTCAGCTAGCGGATGAGGGCTCCGCTCACAGCTCTGCAGAGGCTCTGCCGAGACCGAGCCGGCATCAGATGCAAGATCTCTGCCTGCCATCAACAAGTTAGGCTTGGACGACCAGAGCCATGAAAGAAAAACATTTGATTTTCAATTAAAACGTCACAGACATCATCACTGCAGTGGAAGGAAATCAAAGGGGTAAAAGAAAAAGAAGAGAAAGAAGAAGAGGGAGCTGCTGACTGGAGTCACTCTGGATCTAACTGATTAACTTGATAAATATATTATATACATTTCTATCAAGGATTTGTGGGCTGAAGGAGAAAAGATTTATTTCTTCTTTGTGGTTGGATTTTAGGGGACTCTGGCAAAAACACAAGGAATAAACATTTTAGGACATGGAATTTTACATTTTGTTTCAATCGGGTGGGCTCAGAATTGCTTTATTTCAAAAGAAGCCGATTCCTTTTGTGTTTACTCAAAAGGGCTTTTTCCCTTTGGATTTTTCTTCCATCCCGTTGCTCCAAGAGTCTTTGGAAAAGGACAGTTGAATGCAGCCTCCGATGTACACAAAAGAATGGGTAAGTTAGTCTTTTATATGGCAGCTCTGGTCATGAATAGGAAATACAAGTAAAGAGCGAGAGGTTGAGAACTAAAAGCTCTTCTGCTTCATTTATGTACTGCAATACCACCCCACCACCCTCCAATTATCTGGTCTTCACTGACATAAGTTAGGAAGATGCGTCTTAGAAAATAAAATTTGTTGTTCTCAAATATTTCTGTAGAAATCTGGGGAAACGGTTTTTTGATTCTTAACAGTAAATTTGAATTTAATTATTACAGCACAAAAAAAAAAAAAAAAAAAAAAAAGAGGGGGGGCCTATTTTTAAAAACAAAAAAACCAAAAAAAGGCCACGGGA